ATGGGGTGGCTCCAAATTACAGAGAAAACAGTCAACAGTTCATATTATCATCAAACATTTGAGTGGATACAACTCATGGGAACATGTTGTTCTTTGAGTTACTATTATTGGAACATGGATTTTTCCATTTGTAAGGTATCTCATTTGATCCATCCATCTAACCATTTGTTATCTTTCGCTTGTTCCAAAGTCGGGTCATGGGGGTTAGCAGCTTGAGCAGGGAGGCTCAGACATCTCTTTCCACACTCTTGCCCTGGTCTCCTCTTCCAGCTCTTCTGGGTGGACTCCAAGATGTTCCCAGGTCAACAGAGACATAGTTTCTCCAACGTGTCCTGTGTCATCCCCGGGGTCTCCTCCCAGTCAGACATGCCTGAAGCACCTCCCTAGGGAGACGCCCAGGAAGCATCCTTACCAGATGCTCAAACCACCTCAACTGGCTCCTTTTGTTGTGAAGGAGCAGCAGTTTGGCTCCGAGTCTCTCCTGGATAACTGACCTTCTCACCTTATTTCTAATGGAGAGTCCAGCTACCCTGCAGAGGAAACTCATTTCAACCGCCTGCATTTTCAATCTCATTCTTTCGGTCACTACCCAGAGTTCGTGACCATAGGTGAGAGTAGGAACGTGGACCGACATATAAACAGAACTTTGCCTTACAGCTCAGTTCCCTCTTCACCACAATGGACTGGCACAGAGTTTGCAATACTGCAGACGCTGCACCAATCTGTCTGTCAATCTCACGCTCCATTCTTCCCTCACTCGTGAACAAAACCCAGAGATGCTTGAACTCCTCCACTTGAGGCAGAACCTCACCCTTGACCCGAAGAGAGCAATCCACCCTTTTCCAACTGAAGAAAAAGGTGGATTGCATCTCATTGCAACCGTATCATCTCATTTGATGATACGGTTCAAATGAGACACAAAGTATCTGGTAAACTTAACTTCTTAACCCACATAAAGAAATCTCACCAAATCCTATTTAAAATGGCATGTTATCATCATAACTGTGGTGCCAAAATAACTTCATTTTCTTCTTGTCTTCTAGAAACACTTACTTGACTTACTGATTTACAACTAGAGCATGCATTTTGTTCTCTCAACACTCCTGGTTTGCTGTAAGACTTAGATAACACATTTCTGTTTTAATCATTGGCAACATTAATCACAAATAACTTCTAGGTGGCATTCCAACAAGCATCTTTAAACTTATTTTTACCACCAACACTATAATTTTTAGCAGACATTATGTGTCTAATAACAATAATAATAATAATGATCTAGTACAGTGGTTCCCAACCTTGTCCTTGAGGAACATGATCCTACGTATTTTAGTTGTATCCCTGTTCCAACACACCTGATTCAGTGAGTTAATCACCCATTCATTCAAACCAGGTGTGTCAAAGAAGGAAAACGACTAAAACATGCAGGATAGTGTTACTCAAGGATCAGCGTTGGAAACCACAGATCTAGTCTAGTGTTTAGGCAGCCATTAAAATCCAACAGGTTTTTTTATGGCTACAGTGCAGGTTTATAAAACTACAATAAGATGAAAGAAAAATAAATAAACCACTTGGCTGTAAAACTAAAAATGCTACTTTGGAATGTGGGGATGTCTCATTTAAAATACAAGTTATGGGTATGACATCAGAAGGTGGCTCTATAGACAAGATAAGCAACTACCAGTGGCTGCAGTAACAATCATAATGGAGACTGAGTAGCTTTCCACTTAGACTGATGCATGTCCTTTTTGTCCTCTACGTTTTGGGAGACCAACCTCGGCCAAACTCATTACTAGTCATCATCCATTTGCACATAAGCGTAACAAACACTGTACACACTAGAGTACGGATGAAAACGTGATGAGCAGCATGTGACAGAGTTAGTCATTTTGGTGTAGGGCAGTAAAGGAAAAACAGAGAATACAGCACATTGTAAACCAGACAGCAGAGTCTGATTTTCTTTCAGTTCAGCTGGCTGCAGGCCAAATGATAAGTACACCTAGCAATGTATGAAGACACAACCCCACCCCTCTCACAAACGCAAACGCTACATCGATGGGGCGGCTGCGGCTGAGAGGTTAGAGCAGTCGTCCTCCAGTGCAAGAGTTGGGGGTTCGATTCCACCAGCAGTCACATGCCGAAGAGTCCCTGGACAAGACACTGAACCCTTCATTGCCTCTGATGTATGTCCCATGCATGAATGTGATCTAAAGCACTGATTAGTCTTTGTAAAGGTATAGTAGAGTGCTGTATGAATGGGTAAATGAGGGCACAGATTGTAGTGTAAAGCGCTTTGAGTATCTTGATCAGATAGAAAGGTGCTATTTAAATGCAGTCCATTTACCATCAATATAAAGAAAGCACGTATCCTATTACCTCTGCACAGAAACCCACACAGATGTTATTATTTTACTGAAAACATTCTTACAACTGGTTGAGGCCAGCAGGTTATTAAACACCAATGTTTTAAATCACTCTAAAACTAAATTATTTATTTACTATGACAGTCCTAAAGTCTAAGCTATCTCCTGTTGGTGTAAAGAATGAGAGGGTGACACAATATGCAGATGACATTTAAATGTGTCCTCCCATTACTGCCACAAAAAAATCTCTCTTTTACAGCAATCAGACAAAGACTGACATTAGAGCTCTGAAATATGTATCCCAATTTCATTTTAAATGCAACGACACTAAAGTTGGCCTTATTTGGAACTTTTTGTACAATATTTTACAGGGATCAGATTTAGTTACACTACAGTGAATAAGATACAAAAAAAGTTTGTATCACTTGTGACAGTTTTAACATCAGTGGAGAAAAAAGACATCAGTGGTTGAACTATAAGTAGATGGAGCTATTATGACAAAATGCCATATTATTGTAGAACAGTCCTGCAAATCCAGTAACAACTGGTCATTTGATCTCAGCTGTTTGGTATTGCTTTTTTAATTTTTTTTTTCTTGTGAAACACAGATTTTTATGTTTAAAAAGTGCAACTAGAGATAAATGAATTTTACTTACTTGCTTATGTATTTTCTTATACATCTTCCTATTTCATTCAACCTTTATTTATACAGGCTAATCCCACTGAGCCTCAGGGACTCATTTACAAGAGAGACCTGATTTTAACTGTCTGTCCAAACAGGTCTCACTTGTAAATGAGTCTTTGAGGATCAATGTGATTTATCTGTTTAAATAAAGGTTGAATGAAAAAAACGAACAAAAAAAAAAAAAAACCCCAAAGAGTGATGACAACAGTAGACAATCATAAAAGAAAGGATACAAATTGAGAAGAACAAATAAAAGAAAATGGTATAAAAAAAGAAACAAAAAACAGCTAGATTGTAAAGCGATGTAGAATACTAAAATACTAAAAACAGGAACATGTCTACATTGGTTTTTGCCATTGTGAATTTTTAGTGGTCAACAAAACAAGCCTTTAAGATGTTTTATAAGATTATATAAAAGGAGATTTATAAGAGATTTGAGTTTTAAGCTTATGTTTAATGTCAAATATGTGTCCTAACCACTTTGTGTTTATCTGCTTTACTAATAAAGCTCAGTTTAGCAAAGGAATTACAACTAAACGTTTCTAGAATGAGCAGCTCTTCATCACAGGAGTTTGATGTAGCTAAAACATCGATCTGTGCTACTTTAGTAGTTTAGCATTAGCTATTTACTTGTGATTTCTTCAAAAATCTTCTAGTTCTGCTTTGCCGTTCTGTGTCGAAGGATCAGAGACATAGTGGAGAGAAACTGTAGAAGCAGAAATATTAACAAAGTTACAGCGATGCCTGGAAAGGAACAGCTCGTATATCAGAAGACGCTGCTCTGCACTTTACTCCCCTACTGCTTTATCAGTGCTTCATGCTGCCTGGAAGATTCAGCGCCGTATGGTTCAATCTGAATAATTTACCAAACTAAATTTCATGTTGGTTTAGAAAACGGTTGTTCTTTTTGTTCATCAGAATTAGGGGTGCAGAGAAAAATTGGAATCGGATAGATTCGCCAGACACTGAGAAATTCGCACCCCTAATCAGAATACTAAAATATGAAATGAATAAAGATGAACGGTTTAAACAAGATTTCTGATTTTGTCTCTTTGTCCATGAGGAGCTAAAGTCAGTATCAAAGCCACGAGGTGCGAAAATCAGATTAACAACTTAAAAAGATGTGTTTCTGCAAATAATAAAGTGAGTTTTGGCTACACTAGAGAAGAAGACGAGACTATTTCCACAGCAGTCATTGGCTGTATGCTAGAGCACTTTTATACTTAAACTTAAACATTTTTTTTTTTGTCAACAGTGTAAAACGGGACATAAAAAGCTCTAAACCCCCCAAAAAGCATCAACCAGCAGATAAAAATACATCTGGTTCATCTGTATGGCAAATAGTAGTTCAGAATCTTGGTGTGGTGTCCATTTGCAATACATCGAAAAATAATAAATAATATTGTTGCTTATTAGAAACTGTAGAGAGCGACACGGTTGCTCAGTTGGTAGAGCTCTTGCCTCTCAGCGACAAGGTCGCCGGATCGAATCCCAGCCGAGGACCTTTCTGGGTGGAGTTTGCGTGTTGCACGTTGAACGAGTGTGAATGGTTGTTTGTCTCTGTGTCTCTGTGATGGATTGGAGACCTGTCCAAGGTGTCCCTCGCCTCGTGCACAGTGATAGCTGGATATGAGCACCAGTGACCCCCACGACCCAAAAAGAAGCAGGTAAAAATAATGGATGGATGGAAACTGTAGTTTCAGATAAGATTGCTTCTTTGGCTGTTTTTTGTTGCTTCTTGACATGGGAAAACATTTTTTTTTTTTTTTTGTATAAGTGACTGAACTCCTAAAATGATTTTTTGATTAGTTTAATTTTAAAACGCTGAACTGATTTAGTGTTAAAGTGACTGTTTCTCATGTTGAACTGAAAGCCTGTGCAGGAGACAGAAGTTGAGCTACAAAGATGGGCATAGAGTGAAGAGAAAAACTGCCAGAGAACGTTGGTGAACTCACCTGGACATTGTCCAGCACCATGCCGGCCATCACCATGCCCATCCCAGCCAGCAGGTAGGGGAAGAGCACCTGGAGGCAGATCGCTGCGGATGACTCCTCCTCCATTTTGGCAACAGACACTTTAGGTCTCTTCTCTGCCACCTTCTTAGCAGAAGGCTGAAGGGCTGGTGATAATAAGAAGTCATCTTGTGCATCTGAAGAGTCTCCGAGGTGGGACCTGGGACTCCCGCCAGGACTCTTTCCCTTGGGACGAGACTTCTTGCTCTTCTTCCGGTGGCGGGTTTGTGGGGGTGCTTTATCCTCACCGGGCATGGTGGCTGTTGTGGTTTCAACCAGTCAACTTGTGTTACCTAAATCTGAGGATAAAGGACAGAAAAAGATTTAGGAAACATCAGGTCTGGTAATTTATTAAATTTTAATGAGAAGAAGAAAAAAACACCTTTGCCATTTTATAATTCTCCTATTAGGTTGATGTTTACATCTTTTGACTTGTTTACATAAAATGAACTCTTCCATTTAACATTTGCACAACTAAAATCTTTCATTTAAAATAATCCTCATGCATTTCTACTGTAAAGTCCCCAAACCTTGTCAATTACCTGTGGTGGCCATTTTAATTGGATTGACTCCAAAAGATAATCAGTTGTAGATGCACATACAATCATAACTTCCTGAACGTTTCAGTTAAATCTATCCAATGGTTCAGGGCATAGTTTGCTAACAGACAAATGTGCTTGACTCCCAACAGTTTAAGCACTAAAGTCTGAGTAGCACTTGGATTATGTGTTGTTAACAACTCTCATATACTACCACATCAACGTTTATCACAACATCTGAACATTTGACTGATCATGGTCATTTTGGACTTTTCTAATACCAGTTGGCTGCAGCGGCCATCATACATTGGGTTGGTTCAAGAAAATTCATAAGTTGTAGACACATAACCATTGACAATCTCATGAAAGTTTCAATAAGAACAGTCCAGTGGTTCATGAGATATTTTGCTAACAGACAGACAGTGTTGACATCAATCAAAAATAATGGCAATAGCACTTAAAATATGTTGGATGATAGTCTCAGCTACTGCAGCACCAAACTTCATATCAAAAACTTTAAAACTGCGTTGTTTTAATTCATGAGGTCAGCTCGCTGTGACAGCCATTTTTAATTAGCTTAACTCCAAAAGTTTCTTGTGTAAATGCACAGAGCAGATTGATACAACTAGATTATTATTAACATATTACAGTCCGATTGATTAAAACTAGATTATTATTAACATATTACACATATTACAATCCGATTCATAAAACTAGCTTATTATTAACATATTACAGTCCGATTGATAAAACTAGATTATTATT